GATTGATATATAGGAATTTAGTTTGTGAACTAGGTGATATTTGTTATTATTGTTATTATTATTATTATTATTATTATTATTATTATTATTATTAATCCATTTAATCAAGAATGTAATTAATGAGTGTTTTTATAATGTTGAAGGATTGAAGCTCAAGGAGATATGATACCCAAATATAATACAATTGTTGGCCTAGCTGATAGCAAACCAAAAGAGGTGAATTGGGTTTCCAAAATCTTTATGCAATTTTCAAAAATAATGCAATGAATAAGCACAAGCAACTAAGGATTCAAGTGAATAAATTGCACAAGCTAAAAGACAGAGTTAGAGAGATCAACGCTTCGATTTATATTGGTTTGTCACCCTCTTTGGTGTCTAAATCTAGGGAATGCTCCATATTCAATTCATTAACACTAGCTTCAAGCAATGCTAGTGAAATTGATTTACAATTAGCTTGTGGATGCTATCAACTATTCGATCTTTTATTACAAATCTTTCAACCCACCCTCTTGTTGGAACTTAAATATTTTAATAAAAAATAAAATAATATATTTTATAAATTAAATTTATTGTCCCATTAAGAACTTGTTCAAACTAGCCGTTATAGGTTAATTGTCCTATATAAAGGCACATTATTTCATAATAATTGCCTAATTTATTCTTATCATTAACTTACAAATGGGAGTTACAAGACCATGAGTCCTATAAATAGGACATGTCTATTTGCTTAAAGGAGTGAGTTCCTCCACATTCTCCTATTTTCCTTACTTTACTTTATCTTCTAAATATTCTTGGGTAAAGAAGAATGTTTTGAGTTTGGTGACTCTATGAATAGAGCAGATTCATAGAGTGTAATTATAAAGTTGTAGCATCTTGGGGGTGACATGCTATATATATCTCTACCGCACCAATTGATCTACTCCCCGTAGAGGCGTGAATCGCCATAAAGTAAGTAAGCTTTTCACGCCTATTTCGATTATATTTTCTTATCGATATTTCTTGATAAGTTCACTAATTATTATTTTGTTTGATCTTGTGATCGAGACACAACAATGACATGATGTGGAGATGGAGGAGAGTGTTCGAGGAACAACAATTTTAAGGCGATTCAATATGCAAAACAAAATTGGAACATATGCCACATTGTGTAAGCAAAATATTATTTGTTTTAGGTGCTTCAAAGCAGGCATGAGTTTTTAGATCATAATATGAACATGCTTGAATGGTAGGCTATTTATTTTTAATGGCATGTGGACGATAAAAAAAAAAAAAAATGTTAAGATGTTGTACATGCAATTTTAATGTCTCCCATTATACATGCATTGATACATATATGAATTTGCGATTAATTTGGCATAAAGATACATGGCCATTCATAGGTTATATGCAATGGTAATTTATTACTTAATTATATACGAACAGTTATGGACCTTATGATTAGCATATCATATTATTAGCCGTTGGTATTAAATACATATTAAATTAGTGTTACTTAATTAATAGATTAGTGGTGCATTTTGACCATTACTAGTGTTATAATGGCTCTATTTATAAAAATAATAAGCTAGCCATTTGCTTTTAATGCATATGGTAAATATTTGGTTCATTTCCAATAGCTATGAAGGAAAAAATTTATGAATAAATTTGTGAATTTAATTGACCATATTACTAAATTCTTTGATGGAACATGTGAAAGTTTTTGAGAACCAAAGTGAAAAAAGGCTTTGGGTTGATATATTCCAAAAACGTAAGTTAAACTTTTTAAGCTTATGTGACTAGGGAGCCATTTGTGGCTATAAATGGGAGATGAGCTAATAGGCTCTTATGAAACTTTGTGAGAAAAAGAGTTTTTTCATGAACTTAATTATTTGAGAAATGTGATAATCACATATTTGAGATGATCCCCATGTGGGGGATTGCGATATCCCTATGTGTTATTATTGGTGATGAGACCAATGGTGCCTAATTGAGATTTTGTATAACATTCCTATTATACAATAAGGTATTAAATGTGATATACACGCCTATTATACAATTATGGTATAATAGTGTATAATGAAAAAGAATAAGGAACTATACTTGAATAGAAGGGATATGCTATGATGGACATTCCTATTGTACAACAAGGTACAATGGTGTTTGAGTTAAAAATTCTTAAATACATGTTTTGACATGTATGGAAAGAAAAAGGTGGTTCACTAGCTCGATATAAAAAATTGTGGTACCATGAATTGAGAATTTGAAAAATATAAATGTGAATTTTATGAGCTAATAGACATGTGGGTTGACGTGAAAAAGTGAGAAAAAGAGTGAGTGGAATCTCTTTTCCCCCCACTATACCACCAACTAGGCCTTTGGTAAAGAGAAAAGTTGGAGGAAAATCTATGATCATAGTCTGAGGTCTAGTGCTCATTGAGGGGGAATGGGATTCAAGACCAATAATATAGAACTTTCTATGAGGATACTCAACCCGAATTCTAAGAATTGGGTTTTGAATGGGAAAAACAAATCATAAAGAAGTCGTTGAAAAATGCATCAGTATTTAATGGAAAAAATTTTTGGTCCATTCTTAAGGTGAGGATGCATCTATCCCGAAACGAATTGAGGGTTGAGTTATATACTCTTAATGAAATTTATAGCTCATAGAGTGGGGTGCCTTAGTTATGGGAGCACTCTTAGCAAATTTCACCTATGTGGGTGTCAAAGTGAGGCCACTTCTATGAAAATTGGATGGGCAATTTTCTAGATCACCAATGAAAACAGGGATCATGTGCAAGGCCATAATGTGCCAGCTATGTGAAAAACTCAACATTCGGATCATTATGTGTGTGATACAATTCTTGTATCTTTCAATGGAGTCAGTTCAAGACTTAGTTCACTATTGACTTTAGATTAAGAATTATTGACTCACTAAGTAAAG